GGCAAGTCCCCCTCCACCCCGTACGGGCCAATCGAGTCTATAGACCGAATACCCCGGCACCGTGAAAGAAAGATCGTCAGTAAGCCAAGTCTCACAGAATCCCACGCTCAACGGTGGTGTGCTGGCGATAAAATTGCGTCTTCTTAAAAAGAAAGCTGGCATTCCAAAACACCACAGTATTCTCAGGATGGGGCGCCATTATCCCTGAAATACAACAGCTAACTTTCTGACCACCTGTGCACAGACGTCTCCAAAGGGGGAACCACTAGAAAAAGCCATAAAACCCTCATACAAAGTAAGTAAAATGTGTGGTATCAATGACAGCCAGTCCAGATGATGTTGATCAATGCTTCTCTCTGCCTGACGGAAGCGGTGATCGGCTAACACCAATCTAACTAAAACAATGTATAATGAGTATTAATCTATCGTAAATTTAGGCTTTAACTATATATATTCACCTATGCTTCCGCGCATCATTGTTAAGGATTTCTTCCTTTTATTTACTGATTCACTTTCCGCATGTAATATGAAGGCACTGTATTGACCGTACTAAAACGTCTTTTTAAAATCAATAAACCTAAGTAGGAGCAAAGCCTGGCCAGAATGCCCCCAGTACTGATGATGCAAACTTTGATAATGAACGAGGTTCAAGGGAGACCAATAAAAAATGTGAAATAAATTTCAATAGAGAGGACGGAATTGTGAAATATAAGGACAATTTGTGCAGGATAATCAAATTCGATCCAATTTGTATGTAGAGTTGTGATGGTGTTGACCATGTTTTGCAGGACTCTGGCTCTCACGTCTAGAGCGACGTACGGCATGAGAGCAAGACGCTAACTTAGGTACGTCAAAACGTCAATAGTGGTCTTGAATCTATACTGAGGACAACGAGGAAACTGTCACAAACTTCAGTACATCGCTTGTCGACCAAAGTCACTCTAAAGGATACTAGAAACATTAGGGTGGAATTAAGAGGACCACTAATCATCGCTGCTATTAACTTTGTCCTACTGAAGATATTGATGAATTTCTTGAGGCATTAGATGACTTAGACACATGAATTCCTGTATGCTCAACCCTGCAATCACAAGGCCCACCCAATTCACTCAAACATCCGCTACTACCTTGGATCACTTATGGACCAGCATAACAGCTCCCCTTACATCAGGTATAATCATAACCACTCCATAAAGTGAATCCATAATCCACCACTCCATAAAGGAGGAAATAAGGCAGAGGCAAAAATTACAGACCGATAGCACTAACATCGCACATCATAAAAAATTTTGAGAGAGTGCTAAGAAGTAAGATCACAAAATACATGGAAACACAGCATCTCCATAACCCCGGACAACATGGTTTCAGAACAGGGCACTCTTGCCTGTCGCAGTTGCTGGACCACTATGATATGGCATTAGATGCTATGGAAGACAAACAAAACGCTGATGTAATTTACACAGATTTCGCAAAAGCTTTTGATAAATGTGACCATGGTGTTATTGCACATAAAATGCGTTCAAAAGGAATTACCGGGAAAATAGGCAGATGGATCTACAATTTCCTGACTAACAGAACCCAATGTGTAATAGTCAACAAAATAAAATCCAGCCCATCAACCGTGAAGAGCTCAGTCCCCCAGGGTACTGTGCTTGCTCCAGTAGTTTTTCTCATCCTCATATCGGACATAGACAAGAACACAACCTATAGCACTGTATCATCCTTTGCAGATGACACTAGGATTTTCATGAGAGTTGGCAACATAGAGGACACGGCAAACCTCCAATCAGATGTAGATCAGGTCTTTCTATGGGCTACAGAAAATAATATGGTGTTTAACGAGGATAAGTTCCAGCTCATGCGCTACGGAAAAAATGAAAATATAAAAACAGAAACCACGTACAAAACTCAGGCAAATCATAACATAGAACGAAAAGGCAATGTAAAGGATCTGGGTGTACTCATGTCGGAAGACTTTACCTTCAAAGAACACAATAAAGTAGCCGTCACAACTGCAAGAAAAATGACAGGTTGGATAACAAGAACTTTTCACACTAGAGATGCTATACCGATGATGATACTTTTCAAAACGCTTGTGCTCTCTAGAGTGGAGCACTGCTGCACAATGACAGCCCCTTTCAAAGCTGGAGAAATTGCTGACCTGGAGAACGTGCAGAGATCCTTTACTGCTAGAATCCACTCAGTAAAACATCTAAATTACTGGGACCGATTAAAGAGCCTAAATCTGCACTCCCTTGAGCGCAGGCGGGAGAGATACATAATAATTTACACGTGGAAAATAATTGAGGGGCTGGTCCCAAACCTGAACACAGAAATAACATCACATGAGACCAGAAGACATGGCAGGATGTGCAGAATACCCCCGTTGAAAAGCAAAGGTGCAACAGGTACTCTGAGAGAGAACTCTATCAACATTAGAGGCCCGAGACTGTTCAACACGCTTCCACTACACATAAGGGGCATAACTGGCCGACCCCACAGTGTTCAAGAGAGAACTGGATAAGCACCTCCAAAGGATACCTGATCAACCAAACTGTGACTCATACGTCAGGCTGCGAGCAGCCGCGTCTAACAGCCTGGTTTATCAGTCCAGTAACCAGGAGGCCTGGTCGACGACCGGGCCGCGGGGAGAATTTTGTAGGTAGTGATCATGTCTCCCCTTACTCTTCTGTCTTCCAGTGTCATGAGGTGCATTTCTCGCAGCCTGTCCTCGTAACTCATGCCTTTTAGTCCTGGGACTAGCCTATTGGCATACCATTAAACTTTTTCAAGCTTCGTCCTGTGCTTGACAAGGTGTGTGTGTGTGTGTGTGTGTACGTGTATAACACACACGTACTTATGTGGTACGTATGTACTACATAATTGTAAGGCGTTTGCTGAATTAGAAAAGTCGGCTAGCAGTCCACCCTTAACGACACAATTAACTCATTACATAAAAAAAATACGTGGCTGTGCAACAGTGTGTGGGAATTGGGGAACTGGTGTGCATTTAGACGACTGGCGAGGACCAACAATGACGTAGAAGGATGGCACCAGCGTCTGAATCAAAGGGCAGTGAGGGACAACTTGGCTTTATATATTTTAATCCCCTTACTGTACCGTGAGGCGTCCCTGGTAACCTTGCAATATCAACTGGTTTCTGATCAAAAGCTAAAGTCCAGTCGCCGCAAGGGCAATGAAGAGAAACAGGAACATTTGTGGAAGCTTTGGGACCGTTACGAGGAAAAACAGATAAGCACCTCACAGTTCCTCAAGGAATGTTCGCGTTTTATCCCAGGAAGTGCCTGAACTAGAATTAGAAAACAGCAGTCTGTTTACTGGTTGTTATTTAACTTAAGTTAGTTGTAAATGATAATGTAAAAATAGCCACTGAGAACTAATGAGTTGCCCAAGACTTTTGCTCGTAAAGAGGGAATTGATTACAAACTTGGACTGCCTTTGAGCAGCCTGAGGGCAGCAATATCCCAGGAATATCAACTAAATTTCGGAGACTTGAAGCAAAGTGAAATTCACACCAGTTACTCCATCTATCATCATTCTATTATGCAGGAAGAACCGCACGTCTATGGGTCATCCAATAATGTTAGCAGACTTCTAGATGTTACCACTGCTAGGCTTAGGCTCGGCTACAAGTACCTTTGGGAGTTTGTAACATCTGCTGATGTAGATTTGACTAAATGTAAACTCTGTCAGCAGAACTATTCGCTTACTTTGCGTCATTATATAATGGAATGTGAAAAAATCGCGGAATTTAGAGATAACACCATCAATAGTGTCCAAGAAATGTGTAAGTACTTCATTCATAATGATGTTCTGCTCGAAATCTTAGCGAAGTATCCAAAATTTGCTTACTGTAGGTAATGCTGCACATGACTGTAAAGCTGCCGCCCAGTTGGATGGGTGTGGAGCACATGACTGTAAAGCTGCCGCCCAGTTGGGTGGGTGTGCAGCAAGACTAGTAACTGTGACTCACCATAGATGTAAAGTGCCTTGTATAGTGACTGTTGTGAGCCTCTTGTTGATCACTTGTGACACAGAGATTATTGATGTGTGTATTTGTGTAGGTGATTAAATATGTATGTGTATGTATATATGTATACGTATATATATGTAGTGAGAGTGTGTACATGTATATATAATATTAATAATTTTGTAACTAGCGTCACAAATTATTATTTGCTTAGCTAAACGAACTAGAGGGTTCAGTTCCGGAACCGATTATGTGCCTCTGTAATCCTTTACACCACCGCCCACGGGATAGGTATGGGGTGCATAATAAAGAAAGAAATAGAATTGAATTGGTCTGATTAAGACTTTATGACCATGTAATCTATGTTTTGCTCCACTACTTACTGGTTGAGTATGGGGTGCATAACAAATAATAGCCTCCTTCGGGGGCGCCTTATTCTAAACGTGTTAGTCTTAAATCCTTTAATCACAAATCTTGCTACAATGTACCTCTTAATATTTGTTATGTACTCTCGCAACCCAATGTACCTTCTTGTATATAAATAAATAGATTTCAACTGTAAGGGGGTATGGTTTGCACCTTGTTATTCTAATAATGGATAAATAATTCTAATAATGGAAGCGCTAATTATATGAACACGTGCCATGTATTTATTCAGACGAGAACAACAGTGAACACAAACCAGCGCATATACGAACGGAATGGTTTGTATGTACAAATTTCTCAGTGAACGAAGTTGTTTCTAGCCCGGTATCCGAAATTGCAGTATACGACTTGACCAGTCCCCGTTAAGGATAGCCGCTAAATCTGAATATTTTGCGCCGTTTTGGAGAGTAAACAAAGTACGAGAAGGTGCAGCCCCGCTGGAGCAGTTCCAACAACGCGCGCCCGTATTGGTAAACAAACATCTAAGTTAAATTACTACGTCTTTCCTAGTAATATAAATTGTAAGTTATAAGTATATGTAATCACTCTATATTTTAAATACAAATACAAATGTAAATAATTTAGGAGGCTCCTAGGGAGGTTAATGTTGTGCGGCGTTTGGAAGACTGGACCAAGTTGAGAAAAAGTGGAAGCCTCTGGAGGAGTACCGTGGTCCTGGACTCTTATTTGTTAAGTGTATTACCAGGATTTACCATAGGCCTAATACTCCCTAGTGGCCTCGACGGAGACTGGAAGCCTGCGGCTTGTCGAAGGTACTAACATTGTTCCTGAGGAATTTTTTTTACTGATTTTTTTTAACTGAAGTAAGTTGTTGACATTAATAATAATAATTTTTTCACCAGAAGGTACAATGGGTTGGTGAGATTACATAAGATTGGTATTTGTACATTCTTGTAACTCCACTAACACCCGTCCACACGTTTACTTCTAATTTTGTTATGAAATTAGAGTAAAGTAAAAATAGTAAAAGAGTAAAAATAGTTGTGATCATGTCTGCATTCAGTACCAGCATTATAGTGAGTAAATATACCATATTTCTTTATTACTTACATAGTACTGGCAGGCTTTCGGTGGCTTGGGGTTGCTTGTGATGGCTTTGGGTAGCTTGTGGTGGCTTTGGGAAGCTTGTGGTGTCTTTGGATAGCTTGTGGTGGCTTTGTGTAGCTTGTGGTGGCTTTGGGTAGCTGTGTGGTGGCTTTGGGTAGCTGTGTGGTGGCTTTGGGTAGTTTGTGGTGGCTTTGGGAAGCTTGTGGTGGTTTTGAATAGCTTGTGGTAGCTTTAGGTAGCTTGTGGTGGCTTTGGGTAGCTTGTGGTGGCTTTAGGTAGCTTGTGGTGGCTTTGGGAAGCTTGTGGGGGCTCGTGGTATCTTTGGGTAGCTTGTGGTGGCTTTGGGTAGCTTGTGGTGGCTTTAAATAGCTTGTGGTGGCTTTGGGTTGCTTGTGGTGGCTTTGGGTTGCTTGTGGTGGCTTTGGGTAGCTTCTGTTGGCTTTGGGAAGCTTGTGGTGGCTTTAGGAAGCTTGTATTCACCTATTTGTATTTACCTAGTTGTTCTTGTGGGGGATGAGCTCTGCTCTTTCGGCCCGCCTCTCAACTGTCAATCAACTGTTACTAACTACAGTACTAACTAAATTTTTTTTTCCACACACACACACCCAGGAAGCAGCTCCATAACAGCTGTTTAACATCCAGGTACCTATCTACTGCTAGGTAACAGGGGCAATACGGGTGAAAGAAACTTTGCCCATTTGTTTCTGCCTGGTCTGGGAATCGAACCCGGGCCACAGAATTACGAGTCCTGCGCGTTGTCCACTCAGCTACCAGAACCCCAACTTGTGGCTTTGGGAAGCTTGTGGTGGCTTTGGGTAGCTTGTGGTGGCTTTGGGTAGCTTGTAGTGGCTTTGGGTAGCTTGTGGTGGCTTTGGGTGCCTTTGGGTAGCTTGTGGTGGCTTTGGTAAGCTTGTGGTGGCTTTGGGTAGCTTGTGGTGGCTTTGGGTAGCTTGTGGTGGCTTTGGGTAGCTTGTGGTGGCTTTGGGTAGCTTGTGGTGTCTTCGGATGGCTTGTCGTGGCTTTGGGTAGCTGGTGGGGGCTTTCAGAAGCTGGTGGTGGCTTATGGTGGTTTTGGGTAGCTGGTAGATGTTTTGGGTAGCTGGTGGTGGCTTTGGTTAGCTTCTGGTGGCTTTGGGAAGCTTCTGGTGGCTTGGGTAGCTTGTGGTGGCTTTAGGTAGTTTGTGGTGGCTTTGGGTAGCTTGTGGTGGCTTTGGGTAGCTTTGGGTAATTCTATGGACCTGTTCCTTGAATGAGAGATAATTACTTCTGGAATTATTTTTATTGTTGTGTTGACCTTTCTCCAAAGCAGTTACGTCTTTCTGAAGATGAGGACTCTATGCTTGGATGTAATAATCCAAGTGCGGGGCATTACACATTGTTCATAATATACTATATAAAACATGTTATGTTTGCTTAAAAGAGGAGGAATGACATCGTATGACTACTCTTGGGGCCCTTTTCAAAATCCCACTCAATGTCTGGGGAACCTTGACCATTGGCCCTAAATGCAGAAACTGAGAAACTCTCTCATATGGACTTGGGAGAGTAGAAGGACTAGAACCCTATCCAGGTTGTTCAATACAAAATTGTGCCAATAATAAATTTTCCATAATGGTGACAAACCTTGTGTACAGTATATACAAAATGCAAAATTTTATCTTTAAGTTTTATGTTATTTGATTAGGATATGTTGGTTTCAACTGTTGTGATGATATACATATTAAACTTTTTCCAGGTCCTAGACCCTACTCCATAAATGACTATAAAGAATGTATTTTATTTGCTTGTGAATAATACAATGCAGTGTAGAATTATAAAATTTTGCTATTGCAGTTTTTGTGTATTTTCTAGATACAGTAGCACTATATTCATTCATAAGTTAAGAGTAATTTCTATGTAATGTTATACCCATTTGTGCGTATATAGTTTGTGTCATTGTCATTGTTAAGTGCAGTGATGGAACTGGGTCAGATGTACTCTTGCTAGTTTAGGTACCTAGTGTTTGCAGCATTGTGACCATTATTATTGTGTTCAAATACATTATTTTATTTTGTGATATTCAGGCTATCAGCTGTTTGCATGCTATGCAGTTGTGACATCTATTGCTGTCTGCTTCTACAACAAAATGTACAAGAAGATCAAGTATGTACCTTGCCCCCTTTTTGGATATTTTGTATTTGCTGTAGAATGACAAGTTGCCTTTATAATTTGAGGACATAATGTATATTTGGAAATTATAATAATTACAACATTTTAAATATGCTAAAGCATCTCTAGCCAGCTGGAAATGCAACATTTCATAGGTGAGAACCTGAAGTACAGATGTTTACATTCTCAGCTCCCTATTGAGATTCCTGGGTTCACCTTCTGGATGAGCCAGAACTAGTTGGGCGCGTTTCCTTTTATCTGTTGCCTCTTGACCTATCAGTAAAAAGGTACCCAGGAATTAGGCAATTGTTGTGTGTTGCATCCTGAGGAAGGTAGCTAGTTAACCTAGAGGGACCTCGATGAGCCTAGATACGTGAGGAACTGTAAATATCTTCCCTGCAATATTGAGAAATAATTTATATACTTGAAGCACCTCGGAGTCATAACAAGCCAACTTCCAGTAGTTGTCCAAAATAAATCATATTTGCTGACCAATATGTAGCGCCTTTTTATACAACTCTTGCATTGGTTGTATGGTTAACATATACATAATTACCGTATATGTTAGCTCTAGGCCTCTGTACATTACTAATATAATTTTGTGCTAGGGCATAGCACTTGTCCTAGCTTCCGGATATCTTTTGTCAAGATTTAATAGACAATGCTTATTTTGACAATCTTGTGTACATGTATAACTATTACATGTGTATTAAATGTGCTGTGAAAGGCCATTCAGCCACTAAGAGTTGACCTGATAACTTGGACACCTGTTATTTAGGTGAGAAAGTGGTGGAGGCCAAAACTGTTCGTAATTTCAAAGCGTTATATAACAAAGAGAGTTGGGAAGAAGGGACACCACGAGCGTAGCTCTTGTCCTGTAACTACACTTAGTTAATTACCTTCAGCCCCTCCTACAGTGCATTGTCACTTCAGACTTAACCTAACAAGACACACACGAACCCAAGCAACCCACCTAACCTATCGAGGTTATTGGATAGAAAATGTCATTATTGAGGGATTGGTCAATTCTGTAAAAAATGCAACAAACTGGGTGAGAGAAAGGGTTGTCATATACCATTAATTATATTTTCCAGTTTGTTAAGAGATATTATTGTTACTGTTATTTGTATGGTATTAAAAAAATTTCCCACCAAGTTGACTGTTCATTCCCATGAGAATGAAGGAAATTATGAAGAGAAGGCACTTATTCAGTATGACTATATATTCGTCATACATGGATGGGATACTGGATGAAGTGAAGGAAAGATGCCCAACCACTTGGCCCATCAGGGAAATAACACTCACCTGCAAGATGTGAGGCAGTTGCTGTACTCATCTGTCAAAGTTCTTTTTCACATTCACTTGAAACTTAAAACACTTGTGTTTTAGCATAAAAGTGTGTTTAATTTTGGGCTCTGAAGATAATATTTTTACTTTAATGTATGTGTTGCTTTCTTATTGTCCAGTTTTGACTTGAAAATTATATTTTAGTAGACACCTAACCCACAAATCTGAGAAAAAACAAAATGTTTTGGACAGCCCAAAATGTCATTATTTCCTTCATTTTCAGATACTGTATGTAGGTTGGTTGTTTAAATTTTCAGCTAAGTTAATGTGACTTATTCTCATCATAGATTTCAGTACTTTATGTAGGATCATCAAACTGATCTTTATCCTCTTATAATTGTTAGTGTCTTCCACACAAACCATTTTTCTAAAGTAATGTAAAACATGTTACTGTCTCCAGTAATAACAAGTTCATAATTAAATCCATTTGTTGAGTGTCTTTTAGGGCATAAAGGCCACAGTAGTAAAATATTGCATAAATAGTATGTGGTATATTTTATTTGAAAGCTATGCCCTTGAACACAAGTTATAAATATAGTACTTGGAAATTGGAAGTAAAAGTATATAGAGATGCTAGAGAATGCTTGCAATGAGTTAGTCAAGAAATCCTAATCTTTAATAAATGTAAGGCTTTGAGTCAACACTTGACTAGTATATACAGGACTTCATAGCACCTATTTTCAAGTTTTTTGATACTGTAATGTGGTATGTTTTTATCTTCCTGTAGGCGAAATTGATGGCGAATGTTGAAGGTTGGGAGGTTGGTAAATATTACAGTGAACCCATCTTCAAAACTGTATCTGACAAGTGCTATATTGACTCCATCATCCAAGAGTACTACATTCATGGTCCCTCATCCAACTACATTTTTGGCCCCTACTTTTCCCTCTTCACTTGACCAGTGACTGATGGAATAAAAATTTGTGGTACTGTACTACTGTATCCCTCTGATTAACTGCTTAAATTTGTAGGTTTTCATATATCTAGTTTGAAAGTCTACACATGATGTAATATGAACATACCTGCATAACACAAATAAATTTGTCATATGTTAAAATGTGCATGCCAACTGAAATAGAAAATTTAATAGTTAAAGTTGTTTTTTTTCATCCCCCCCCCCCTTTTTCCCTGTAAATTTTGTTTGAGGGGTTAGTGTGATGCCCCTAAAAATCCACAGTAAATGGCCATGTACAGAGAGTTACAGAGGCTGCCTAGAAAAGAGGATTTCACTATTCAACACAATTTGTGGGTTGGCACTTTGTAGCTCCTTGGTGCATACCCTACAGCAGTTTGGAGAAGAAACAGTCATTGGGAAGCAAAATGTGTTTAGATGGTAAATGTTAAGAGGAGCACAGAGGTGCTCAGGTATTGTCAGCTGTGACTGTGTGTAGTAGAATGGTCAAGGGGAAAAAGGTGAATATATCTAGATCGGAGGACAGAGTTCCAGGGGTAACATTCTTGGTATGGGAGATGCCAAGATATGGATGAAAATTAATCTTGATCATGAATGTAAAAGGAGGAATTAGTACTGAAGGGATGTGGATGTGGTGGCATTGAAGGTCCATAGGCTATGAGTGGTCTCTGTGTATATGTTCCAAGGTTGCTCAAGTGACTAGAGCAATGGTGGAACATTATGATGCTAGAGAGCACCCGTGACTTATGGAACAGCAGTTAAGAATTATTGGTCTGTGTGACCATTCTGCAGTAGTGGACAGAGCTCTATTAAGGTCATATTACTATGGAAATCAAAATGATTCTGAAATGGAACATGGGCAGAGGAGCAAGAAGAACGTGTTGCACGGATACACTGTGGAGGGAGGTAAGGCCTCACATATGTATGCTGTGTGTGTGTGTGTGTGTATATATATATATATATATATATATATATATATATATATATATATATATATATATATATATATATATATATATATATATATATATATATATATATATATATATATATATATATATATAATATATTTTTAGTATATTTTGGTAGCAGTCTTTCCTGTAGACATATATTATTAAATATGACCGAAAAAGTAAGATTAATAATTCTAACACGAATTTTCTCAATCTTTCGTACATTTCTTTTCACTGTTGGAGGTAAATCAAAAATCAATTCTCCAAAATTCATTTTTATTTCTAGTCTGACGCGACACGAGCGCGTTTCGTAAAACTTATTACATTTTCAAAGACTTTAGTTTACAAATACACAACTGAATAGAACTTACGCATCTCCGATTTTATAAATACATTTGAGTGAGGTGGATGGGGTGAGGTGGCATTAATAGGGTATTAATTTCATCAACACAAGACAGAACAAGAGGTGGTATTAATAGGGTATTAATTTCATCAACACAAGACAGAACACGAAACAATGGGTATTGAATAGAAGTGTTTGTAGAAAGCCTATTGGTCCATATTTCTTGATGCTTCTATATTGGAGCGGAGTCTTGAGGTGGGTAGAATATAGTTGTGCATTAATTGGCTGTTGATTGCTGGTGTTGACTTCTTGATGTGTAGTGCCTCGCAAACGTCAAGCCGCCTGCTATCGCTGTATCTATCGATGATTTCTGTGTTGTTTACTAGGATTTCTCTGGCGATGGTTTGGTTGTGGGAAGAGATTATATGTTCCTTAATGGAGCCCTGTTGCTTATGCATCGTTAAACGCCTAGAAAGAGATGATGTTGTCTTGCCTATATACTGGGATTTTTGGAGCTTACAGTCCCCAAGAGGGCATTTGCAGGCATAGACGACGTTAGTCTCTTTCAAAGCGTTCTGTTTTGTGTCTGGAGAGTTTCTCATGAGTAGGCTGGCCGTTTTTCTGGTTTTATAGTAAATCGTCAGTTGTATCCTCTGATTTTTGTCTGTAGGGATAACGTTTCTATTAACAATATCTTTCAGGACCCTTTCCTCCGTTTTATGAGCTGTGGAAAAGAAGTTCCTGTAAAATAGTCTAATAGCGAGTATAGGTGTTGTGTTAGTTGTCTCTTCAGAGGTTGCATGGCGTTTCACTTTCCTAATAATGATGTCTTCGACGAAACCATAGGAGAAGCCGTTGTTGACTAGGACCGGCCTTACACTACAGAGTTCTTCGTCGACTTGCTTCCATTCTGAGCTGTGGCTGAGAGCACGGTCGACATATGTGTTAACAACCTTGTACCTGTACCTCTTGTACCTGTCTGGGCAGTCGCTGTTGGCATTTAGGCACATTCCTATGTTCGTTTCCTTAGTGTAGACTGCAGTGTGGAAACCTCCGCTCTTTTCCATGACTGTTACATCTAGAAAGGGCAGCTTCCCATCCTTTTCCGTCTCGTAAGTGAAACGCAGCACGGAACTCTGCTCAAATGCCTCCTTCAGCTCCTGCAGATGTCTGACATCAGGTACCTGTGTAAAAATGTCGTCAACATACCTGCAGTATATGGCCGGTTTCAAGTTCATGTCGACTAAGACTTTTTGCTCGATGGTCGAGCAAAAAAAAAAACTACTGTAACAGTCACTACACACACTACTGTAACAGTCACTACACACTACAGTAACAGTCACAACACATACTACTGTAACAGTCACTACACACTACTGTAACAGTCACTACACACTACAATAACAGTCACTACACACTACAGTAACAGTCACTACACACACTACAGTAACAGTCACTACACACACTACAGTAACAGTCACTACACACACTACAGTAACAGTCACTACACACACTACTGTAACAGTCACTACACACACTACTGTAACAGTCACTACACACACTACTGTAACAGTCACTACACACACTACAGTAACAGTCACTACACACACTACTGTAACAGTCACTACACACTACAGTAACAGTCACTACACACACTACTGTAACAGTCACTACACACACTACAGTAACAGTCACTACACACACTACTGTAACAGTCACTACACACACTACTGTAACAGTCACTACACACACTACAGTAACAGTCACTACACACACTACTGTAACAGTCACTACACACTACAGTAACAGTCACTACACACACTACTGTAACAGTCACTACACACACTACAGTAACAGTCACTACACACACTACTGTAACAGTCACTACACACACTACTGTAACAGTCACTACACACACTACTGTAACAGTCACTACACACACTACTGTAACAGTCACTACACACACTACAGTAACAGTCACTACACACACTACTGTAACAGTCAATACACACACTACTGTAACAGTCACTACACACACTACAGTAACAGTCACTACACACACTACAGTAACAGTCACTACACACACTACAGTAACAGTCACTACACACACTACTGTAACAGTCACTACACACACTACTGTAACAGTCACTACACACACTACTGTAACAGACACTACACACACTACTGTAACAGTCACTACACACTACAGTAACAGTCACTACACACACTACTGTAACAGTCACTACACACACTACTGTAACAGTCACTACACACACTACTGTAACAGTCACTACACACACTACTGTAACAGTCACTACACACTACAGTAACAGTCACTACACACACTACTGTAACAGTCACTACACACACTACAGTAACAGTCACTACACACACTACTGTAACAGTCACTACACACACTACTGTAACAGTCACTACACTCACTACTGTAACAGTCACTACACACACTACAGTAACAGTCACTACACACACTACAGTAACAGTCACTACACACACTACTGTAACAGTCACTACACACACTACTGTAACAGTCACTACACACACTACAGTAACAGTCACTACACACACTACTGTAACAGTCACTACACACACTACTGTAACAGTCACTACACACACTACTGTAACAGTCACTACACACACTACTGTAACAGTCACTACACACACTACTGTAACAGTCACTACACACACTACTGTAACAGTCACTACACACACTACTGTAACAGTCACTACACACACTAAAGTAACAGTCACTACACACACTACTGTAACAGTTACTACACACAGTAATGTAAAAGTCACTACACATACTACTGCAACAGTCACTACACACTACTGTAACAGTCACTACACACACTACTGTAACAGTCACTACACACACTACTGTAACAGTCACTACACACACTACTGTAACAGTCACTACACACTACAGTAACAGTCAATACACATACTACAGTAACAGTCACTACACACACTACTGTAACAGTAACTACACACTACAGTAACAGTCACAACACATACTACTGTAACAGTCACTACACACTACAGTAACAGTCACTACACACTACAATAACAGTCACTACACACTACAGTAACAGTCACTACACACACTACAATAACAGTCACTACACACACTACTGTAACAGTCACTACACACACTACTGTAACAGTCACTACACACACTACAGTAACAGTCACTACACACACTACAGTAACAGTCACTACACACACTACAGTAACAGTCACTACACACACTACTGTAACAGTCACTACACACACTACAGTAACAGTCACTACACACACTACTGTAACAGTCACTACACACACTACTGTAACAGTCACTACACACACTACTGTAACAGTCACTACACACACTACTGTAACAGTCACTACACACACTACTGTAACAGTCACTACACACACTACTGTAACAGTCACTACACACACTACTGTAACAGTCACTACACACACTACTGTAACAGTCACTACACACACTACAGTAACAGTCACTACACACACTACTGTAACAGTCACTACACACTACAGTAACAGTCACTACACACACTACAGTAACAGTCACTACACACACTACAGTAACAGTCACTACACACACTACTGTAACAGTCACTACACACACTACAGTAACAGTCACTACACACACTACAGTAACAGTCACTACACACACTACAGTAACAGTCACTACACACACTACTGTAACAGTCACTACACACTCTACTGTAACAGTCACTACACACACTACAGTAACAGTCACTACACACACTACACTAACAGTCACTACACACACTACAGTAACAGTCACTACACACACTACAGTAACAGTCACTACACACACTACAGTAACAGTCACTAC